CACACACACACACACACACATATAATAATTAAAAAAGTCTTTAAAACGTTATTATATAAAAAAATACAGGGACACTTTGTGATTGTGAAACGTTAGTCAATCATGATGATCTACACCTGTGGTTTCTCTGCTAGGACAACTGATGTTTTTCTAAAAATCACAAAAACACCAGATGATTAAAAGATACTGACCTAAAATAATGCTACAAGTCAAGTTAGTTCTGAGAAAAGCTCCTGCAGCATTTCAGTCCAGACGATACTTGGTGGGAAATTTAGTTTCTATTGCAGTGACATTCAGACAAATAAGTAGCAGTACTTCTCTGAAGCCACTGGATATGCAAGTCTCTTCAAATGCAATGCTCAGCTTTCTTTGAACTAGTTTATCAAGCTACAGGTAAAATTGAAAACATTTTTCAAATGATATACAAAATGGCTTAAACTTCCCTTGTGATCAGTAAAAATGCTGTACTTACCCATGTCTGTAGGCAGCAGTGATGTGCTGTGCTTGTGTGTAATGTCACAGACTGGTCTCTCAGTGAGCACAGCTGGAGACACACTCAATGTCCAACCTTAAGAAACAATGTGCCTTTTCAATGGCCTGCTTGAACTGTTCAAAGAGCAGACTGACAGGGTCATGATGCAAAAACATACCAAAATGTTCTCTTAAAATAAGTGCCACTGCTTTGCTTTAAGATGCAAAGTGTTTAATAAAGAGTTACAGGCCGCTTTTAGCTCAGTTATAAACGACTGAGAATTTAGCTCATGCTATGATCAAGTTACTTGATGACTTTTAAAGGAAATTTTAATGTGTTTGTAATTTTATTTACTCAAATTGTAATTCGATGTAAGACGGTCTTATGTAGAACTAAAAACTATATAACTCTGGGGAAAAAAAGGTACTGCTAATGAGCTAAAATCTTGCTTTGTGAATCCATAACACATACGACTCACTGCTGACCTCTAGTGTTCACACGCCTAGTTAATAAATGCAAATATATATAGTAAATAAA